AAATGACTGAAGGATTCTGCCCTAAAGAGACCCATCACAAAACCCAGAAACTTTGATACACTACTATAAGCTTCACGAGAAGCAGAAATTCACAGGAAGCTGTAAAATAATCAGTGTGGACATGAATGCAGTGTGGTCAGTGAAGCATAAGTGATAGTGTGGTAATGGCTGCAAAGCATCGATGCAGAGAGGATGGCTTCCTATTTACTGCAGTTGTTACCAAACAGCTGAATGCTTTTTTGGGAATCTTACTACATTCCTGGGTTCAATAATATTTCTTCTGTTTATCTGTTGATTTTGCATTTGAAAAGAAAAAAACATCTATTACAAATCAATTAGAATTAAGAAATCCAAACGCTTCAGCAAGGATAGTGGCTTGTTTCAGGTTCTTTAATTTCAATTTGTAGCTTTAGGTAAATAACTTTTATAAAAAACCATCCATGTGACAGTATTAAGCACTGGGAAGTTTTTCTGGTTCAATTCAAAGTTGAATTTTTTTGATTTAGCAGCCTTTTTCTTCCCTTTCTTGTATGGAGATACATTTTAGTTGCATATCCAAACAAAGCTATTGTGTCTTACTAAATGAGTGAATAATGTTCTGGAAGGACATTTGATTTCTACAACAGCACAATCCACATCTGTTGGTCTCATTGTTACGGTTTCATGTTGTTCCTGATGATTTATGGTAAAAGCCTTTTTGTTTTGATTCTAATTCAATGGCAAATGCTAATTGCAGAGATGTTCAGGTTATATTATCAACTATTTCTATCTGTATAACAGCTGAAGAATAAGGAAGTTTTGGAATCCATCTCTTTTTCAAAAATCTTTCAAGAAACCTGTAAGATGCTTTCATAAACAGCAGGTGGTAATAGGATATTTTTCAGACTTGTCTTGTGCATGTCATATAAAAAAAATATGTAATATTCTGCATTATGTGTGTGGCTAAACATGAGCGACTTGCAGTAGTTTATGGTCTGTGGTGCAAAGCACAGTGCCAGGTTCATTCAGCTGTGTATCCTCTAGCTATGCAATACTAATTTTCTATGCTTGGTATGTCTTTTAACGGAATGATGGATGTCCATTCACTGTGTGGGATGTGTCAGTGTTTTCTAAACATGGTCTGTGCCTCTTCATTAACTTTAGATAGACTAGTGGAGGTATTTCACCCTGCGGGAAGTATCAGCGGTAGCACAGGATGCTGGGATGAGTTTTATAGTGTTATGCAGGGTTTGTTCTGCATGTTTTATGTTTTCAAGAATTTCTAAAATGATGAAACTTATTCTTTCAGTGCACAAACAGTTTCAATGTCCTAGTCTGTTCAGTGTCCCAAGACTTTGTCTAGAGGTTTGTGGGTTTTTTGTTTGTTTTGGTTTTTTTTATTTTATTTTAACTTGTGGTTTGTAGATGTGACTTTTTCCTAATACTGCTGGAGAACTGGAACAGTTTGGCTGATAAATCAAAATAAGTCTCCCAAAACTGGTGGTAATACATTGGGGGTTTTTTGTGTGTGTGTCTTTCCAAATGTACAGGTAAGAGCCTGAATTAAAGGCAGAAGATGCTTCAACTCTCACTTCTGCAGTGAGCTAAAAACTTGAAATGCCCGTTATAGCTGTTGCTGGCCTTTCAGCTTGGTGCTTATCTGGGAACTGTGAAGTTGGCATGGCACTGAACCAGTCTCTGGTTTGAGTTGGAATGATCAGAAGAATTTAGCTCCCTCTCTTTGCTGCCAGACTAGAAGGAGCTGTGTCAAGAGATTTCTTCCTAATATACTCCTACTTGCCAGCAGGATGTATTCATGAATTTGTAAAAGTGGGAGTAGCAAACCTGTATGTTGATGTGACTCAGGTGAACTATCCTGCAGGCAATAGAAATGAAGTGACGTCTTCGAAATAGGTTTCCTAATAACATGTGACTTAACCTCACAGTGCCGCTATCTTCCTGATCTTCTTACTTATCTGGTCTTCATATCACAGCAAGACTGCTTCTTAAGCTTGCTTTCTATCATTTCTCTGGTCATTGCTAGCTTCTTCCTTGCCAGGATCTTGGTAACAGGCAATTCCCCTTGGCTTCTCATTCTTAAGAAATGCCCTTGCTGTCAGAGCTGCAAATACCCATTTCTGTAGGGCTATGGCAAGGTGACTTAACACTCTTCTCTTGTTCTTGGCTTTCAAATTGGGCAGATGTTTAGCAGTTGTTACTGCTGCTAGAAATGACATAAACCATGTAACAAGTCAAATCAATTCATAGATAAAAATATATTTAATTAATAGTACTGCTGTGCAACTATCTTTCAAAAATTGTTGGTTTTAAATCTCTTTCAACTTATAAAGTTTAAAGATGGTTTAACTCTACTAATAATATCAGCAAGTACAATACAGAAGTAAAAAAGATTTGCTAATATTGCTGTGAAAGTTTTTGACTAATAGCTATTTAATCTACAAATGTAAATTTTGGCATGCAAGAAGCCAGAAAATTAGAGAAGTGAGGTTATTTGTACTAGAAATAAAGAACTTGTTTCACTATATTCTTTAGTATCTATGTTACAATAGGTATCCTACAGAAAAAAGGAATTTATGCTGTTGTGCTGTGTAATAAAAGCATTCAGAGTCCCCATGTGTCTGATCTGGAGGAGAAATTGGTGATAATTATATACAAATTAGTTGTCTTGAGACTAAAAACAGGAGATAGCTGCATTGGGTAATGGTGCACTGATCTCCAGGCAAGAAATTATCCTGATTTATAACTAGGAGAACATTTCCTGGGGTACCACATCCATACCTCCTTTTAAAGAGTAGTGTCTTGTGATTATATCTTAGTGAATTCAAGTTTCTGGTTGTTTTCATAAAATGGGCTCAAATTTTGTTTGCCTCAGATAGCATCTTATATCTGACAAATGCCATTTGAGCAGTTTAGTGTGGTGCAAGTTTGAGAAGAAGCACAAATGAAGCATTTCTTTGCCTGAGCTGACTCAGCTGGCAACCGTTACCTCGCAATAACTTCTGTTTGGTAATTTAACATCTGTTCTTTATTCCAGACCTAGTCTTACAAACTCCTTTCCTTGTGGAAAAGGAGGTGCGTAAGGCTTCCTTTTCTGTGTCTGCTTATTATGCCAAAGGGTTTTAAACCTATTTTTTGTTTACAAAAATGGAGGTAACTGACTATCAGTGACTGCTTCAGGGACCTCTTCATGACCACTGGTAGCAGCACCTAGCAATATTCTACTGGAGGAGCAACAGAAAGTCCATTTCATTAACTTGCTGACAAAACATGTTTTCAGGCAAAGAGAGCACATCTCCTGCATGGTAGGTGTCTCCCCAGAGTTGTGCTTGCAGTTGAGACAGATTTTCATTTGTTGTTTATGTGCCATGCTATGCCATACTTCTTCTTTGAGAGAGCGATATAAGTTATTGATACATTCTGTTATTAAACTTTCAAACTTCTCTTTCCCCTTAAATACAGCCAAAAAAAAAATCATATTGGTAAGCATTTGTTATGTTTATCAATACAAACTCTGAGGTATAGATTAACTTTTTTTGTTCTGGATGTTGATGCCACCCATAATAATGGATCTTACAGGATCATCTTCAGCACTGTCATCCCTGTTCCTCTGGCAAAGATGTGCTGAAATCTTAAGTAGTAATTAGGCCACTCTTTGGCATGCATTTGTTTTTCTGTGTTAATGTGTTTTCCTCACCCCCTTGTTTTCCTTATGCTTAGAAAATAAAGCATGTCTCTCTCTTTCAAGGTGCATGTCTCATTACATTTCAGTAAATTTTTCAGAGCTAGTTTTCATGCTTTTTAAATTTCATTTGGAGGACTGTATGAACAAATGTTCAATTCAAGAAGTTAACTATGACACAGCAAAGAAAACATGAGGAAAAAGCATTTACGAGTGAAACTGTGTTGCTTGGCTGCACAGTGTGAGTACTGAATGCACACTTTTTAAATAACATTTAATAAAATAAAGGCCTCTCTTTCTTTTAATGTTTATAATTATGCAATTTGTGAATGCAGTACTGAAGCACAGTGTTCAAAGCCATTGACCCTAGCATCGTGGTAGATATTTTCGGGGTCAACTGCAGCTACACAAATGCTTCTGATTAGTTTTACCTAATCTAACTGAAACTAACACACCCATTTTGCCCAAGAAAACAGTAAGGCTAAACTTGAGCTTATTTTTACATAGTTTAATTGCTTCTTGGGGCATGTCAGGTTAGCAGTAAAAAGGTAATACTATATAGCACTGAAGGTTGTTTGCAAAGACTACAAAATGTGCAATTAAAATGTGAGCTAAGTTATATGCGTATACATGTATAAGTATGTATACTTACAATACATACTTCCCTTAAAAACGGCAGTACTTCTTCAGCTCATCTAAAAGAGATATTGTAGCTCAACCACAAGGCCTGGGCATGTTCTGGGGAGGAATACATGGAACCTGGCTGTGTTCTGCTAGACACTAACTGCATGGGTCTTGTGGGCAGAGAAGGCTGTTGTCAATGGGAATGGGAGAGGCTGGAAGACAAAAGGCAAGCCACTTCTTGCAGTATCTGCTGCTTTTATATAAGAGGGGGACAAGTGTATCTGATATAAGAGCTGTCTGAGTCAGAGATGATAAGGAAGGAAGAAATAATAGAGGCAGTAAAGCTAGGGAATAGAGGAAGAGAACAGCATTTAGTCTGCAATGTGTGTATGAGAGAAAAGGCAAAAAACTAGTTCTACCTTCTTTTGTTGAAAAGAGATAAAACTCTTTAAGCATATATATTGTTATGATAATGAATAAAACAGATCATTTATCAACCTGAAGGGAGCCCGAGACATCTGCTCTGAATGGGCCAACCTCAAGTAATATGAAAGGTCTTTGTAACTTTATATGAACAAGTTGTTCTTATCCATATGCACTTCACAGTGTATTAATGACAAATACCTTTTTTTAAGGTCAGATTTTCTTTGAAATCTATAACTGTCTGTGTACACCTGCAAGCTGCTCTAAGATTTGCATGACTGTCTTCCCCACAGGTATAGATTATAAGACTACAACGATTCTTCTGGATGGCCGACGAATCAAGCTACAGCTTTGGTAAGCGTGTGCTTTACCTTTCCTCATAATTTATATTTCAAAGACACAGAAATGCAGCTCTTCAGGGCACAAGTTTTCGCTTATGGTTCAGAAATATTTAGTCAACTGAGGAAGAGTGAGCCAGGCAGCTAGCCCTTTGAGTAAGTCACACTTTCTCTTCACCTCCTCTTTGCATCTATTTCATGTAAAATGGGGGACCCTACAGTTTCTCTATGTGAGAGATAGATGTATAATATATGCAGAAGAAAGGCACAAAAGATTACAAGTGCCTTCAAGGTAGATTACAAGTGCCTTCAAAGGTTATAAAATATACTGGTAACGAGAACCATGAAAGTACCTTAGAAAGCATACAGTGATTGTACAACAACATCTCTTTGCTTAATCAATTAGTAGTAATGGTCGACTAAATAACAACAGTATTAAAAAAAAAAAAATGCGTTATTGCTCATATAATTTAATTTATATGCATTCTGATGTTGTTTGAGCTTTATAAAAACATGTCAAGAACACATAAAATTATTTTACAACAAATATTTTTCCTGTAGGGTCAAATATTTGGTCTGTCAGAGTGCTTTTGTGTTAAGGTTGTTTGAAGATGGCCATCTTCTGGTTCATTTAGAAATACTTAGCAAGTGATACAACTTGAAAAATGCAGCAATATTACTGCCTCTTAAATACATTGTTTTCCCTAAAATCATGGCATAAAAGAGGGAGAAGTAAGGTCAGTTCAGGACAGGAAGGAGATGGAGTGTGATTTTTAAGGGACCATAATCTAGATAAATCAGAGAGACAGGTTCTAGGAACAAGCAGTGTTCAAAGACAGTAGAGAATTGGAGGTGAAAATGAATTATTATGATTATATCCTTTTCCTCGTAGAAAGAGACAATCCTGAGCCATTTCCATCTTTAAAATTAATTTTGATGTTTATTTTTATTTGAAACTTTCTTAATTACTGGAGTTAGATGCCTTTGTGTCATAACTAAGCTATTTCTGATATGTTCTTCATTGATTGGTTTTGCCTTTATGATTTCCAAAATAATGCTTCAAATGTTAAATGCAATGATGGATAATGGTACTCTGCCATATGGTATCTTGATTACTTGATATTTTGTTCACCTACTTTCTTTTTCTTGTTCTGTCTTCCACTTTATATAGCTTAGCAAAAATACCACATAAAGCTTACCTGAGAAGCAGCCAGGAAGTGGATGTTTTAATTCTTTTTGTGAAGGGCAAGGGTGTTCTTTGGACTCCTTAAAATAACAGATTGGAAATGTTTCTACAGTTGACCATATACAGAAATACGTGCCTTGCATTTGAAGATCTGTAATCTACCTCAAAAAGTCTTTATGGAATTCTGCTTCTTATCACGTTCTTCACTATAAATGTGATTTTGCTTCCAAACACTTTATGCAGGTTTTTTTTTTTTTTTTTTTTTTTTTTTGGTGCATGCTTTTCTAAAATTCTGTGCTGTTTATGACTCTGTAGGGATGCCTTCATTATACTAGACTCATGATGAACTATTGCTGCTGTAATCAAGAATTTACTGTTTTTCCATAAGTTTCCTTGGTGATAGCTATTGTTTCCTCCCACTTTTCTTTTGCTGTGAAAACGGAATCTTTCTTCAAGCTGAACTAAATGCAAAGTCTAGTGGCATACGTTCACTTGAGTAACAGCCTTTGTTTTCCAAGGGCAATCACAAGAGTAAAGTTTGAAGTTTTTGTCCTCTTATCCTGAGAAATCTGAGAAATGTAGAGGAAAGGGCAGAACGCCAGTGGGGAAAAACTGCTGAGAGCGAGAAGAGCTCTTATGCGTTACTGACTGCTACTGCAGGACTAATGGAAGAAGAGCTGATATTGATCAGAACAGATGAATTAATCTAGCTGAACTCTTAACATAGGAGGCCACCTACTTCTTTTAAAAATATATATAATTTATTTCGTTTAGGGATACATCAGGGCAAGGGAGATTCTGCACCATATTTCGGTCTTATTCAAGAGGTGCTCAGGTAAGCAAAGTACAACTTTCTCAGTGATGAGTAACTGTTGTTGGATGAATGAATGCAGAGTTAGCAAACCATCGTGATGGCTTCTATAGCTCACTTGTAGATTGCATGCAGATTCAGTAATAGTCTGAAGATAACATGAAATATGGGAAATAACAAGGGGCAGGATTTTCTTTTGGGGAGGGGAAATCCATGAGATTAAAGTTGAATCAGGGTAAAATAGTGCGATATATATTCCTATGCGTTGGTTACCTCAATAACTTAAGCATTTGATCATGTGAAAGCTATGCTAATACTACTTTTTAAAACTGTGTGCCAAGTAAGAGAAATGGATAACATAAAACTGTCAAGAGTAACGCGAAAAATAAAAACGTAGTCTAAAATGTGATGAAATGAAAATGGAAATGACTTTTTTAAAAAAAAGACAGACACACGAAAAGTCACTATAGCTTCAGACTTTAAAGTATTGCTATAACTCATGACACGTATTGGTTCTGATGAGTTGCATCTGTTATGTTCCAGAATTGCACAGAGCATTGAATCTTCAAGCTACCAAATGTGACGAAAAATATTTATTTGCTATGACTTTTGATGTGTGTATGAATAACCCAAGTTGTCCACTATAAAAAGGGGTATTTACCAGTACATTAGACCCTAAAACTAAGTCAGGGTTTCTGCCTCTTAGCTAATCTGTAATCTACACAGAGAGATGGGGCTCGGTTTCACAGGATGCTGAGGTTCTGCTCCATTGAGAAGTTGCTCAGCATCTTACAAGATTATTTCATAACTGGAGAATTTACAGATAGTATTCTCTGTGTTATGCCTCTGTTAAACTTTTTTTTTTTTTTTAATACAGGGAGTAATACTAGTGTATGATATTACAAATCGTTGGTCATTTGATGGAATCGATCGATGGATAAAAGAAATAAATGAGGTAAGGTACAATCCCAGAGTGTCACTGGTCTGTAACAGATGACTAAGACCAACTGCTCATGATATTTTCTACTGTTTTTACTGGCATTTGCAGGCAGTGCTTACTACAGAGTTATCCAAAATGCCAAGTTTACAGTTTTCTTTCTATGTTTATAATTCTAGAAAGTTGGAAACATATCAGCTAAAGTGTCTGATTTCTTTAAAGGTGTTGATGGAAAGCATATGGAGGGCAAAGATTTCATATTGTAGTCCCACTCTTGCTATGGATTTGCCACATCATCTGTGCAAGCCTGTCTTTTCTGAGGAAGGGATGGTTTTAGATCAGAGAATCATAGAATAATTTAAGCTGGAAGGGACCCCTAGAGATCATCTGGTCCAATCTGCCACTTAGTCTTTAAATCTTGAAAAAGCTTTTGTTTATTTTAATTGAGGGAAGGGGAAAATGGAAACCAAACTATTAATTTTGTTATTGCTTCTCTTTGCTCAGCATGCTCCTGGTGTACCAAAAATCCTGGTTGGAAATCGCCTTCACTTAGCCTTTAAGCGCCAAGTGTCTACTGAACAAGCACAAGCCTATGCTGAGAGGCTGGGCATGACTTTTTTTGAAGTCAGTCCACTTTGTAATTTCAATATTACAGAGTCCTTTACTGAGCTAGCAAGAATAGTATTGATGAGACATGGAATGGACAGGCTCTGGAGGCCGAACAAGGGTAAGCAATGTACACTGAAAATGTGTAAATTTAGTTCTAGCTAAGGTTTATGGTTCATTAATATAAAATAATTTTCAGAAACTTCAACCCTCATACAAAAACATGAAAAAAGAAGAATCAGGAATCCTGTACAATTTGCTTTCTAAACAAAAAATATGTATCTGCAAGCATAACCTGTTCGGCTTTTGTAGGGAATAACATATTTTTCCTAGAACTTACATGCTCAGTCATCTAAGTATTAAGACATAAATAGGAAACTGAAGGAGCAGATATTTTGAATAATGTATATGTGGGAAAGGGTGTGGGAGGAGAAATGAGAATTCATCCTGAAAGTATGGAGTGCATGCAGAGTGCTGGGTATGCTGCTACCGTGTGGCTGACAAAAGCATGCTATTATAATGCAAGTTTTATGTCTGTTTTTAAGTACTGAGTCTGCAAGACCTTTGTTGCCGTGCCATAGTTTCCTGTACCCCTGTGCATCTTGTTGACAAGCTCCCTCTCCCTGTTGCCTTAAGAAGCCATCTCAAATCTTTCTCTATGGCAAATGGCCTTAATGCCAGGATGATGCACGGACGCTCATACTCCCTCACATCCAGCAACATCAATAAAAGGAACAGCTTAAAGAAAGCTAAAATTATCCGTCCACCACAGAGCCCACCAAAAAACTGTACAAGAAACAGCTGTAAAATTTCTTAAGCTCTCTGTGGGAAATGGAACCTGGATGGAATCCCCTCATGTGAAGCGTTGAATGCAAGGACTCCTTGTTTAATGGTTGAGCACACTCTATGTATGTATCACACTACATAGACAGAAATAAGAAGAATAGTCTTAATTTAGCGCTTGCTCACTACAGTAATGCTGCTTTGGAATGAATGACAAGTTCAATGCAACTGAAAGGACGTGACATTTTGCTGTTGGATTTTCATACTGCATTTTAGTTTCTGATGTGCATGATGCCATTGTTTTTACTAGTAGATGTGTTTTCATATAGGGGATAATTATCATTATATTCAGTTCTTAATTCCATGAAATCTGGAGAGTGACTTACTGTGTTGTTGTATAAAATCCTGTCTTTTTGCAAACTATTCAAAAATATAAAAATGAGTCATCGGTTTGCATATTCAGGCAGAGGTTTTTAAACGCAATGTATTGTATACATTGTTAAATTCTACAAAGAGTGTGACAAATTCTAGTAATACTGCAATTGTGCGTTTGGATTTTTTGTAAAGCTTCCTTGATAACTTTGAAGCACTAACTTAACTAAGCTAGAAATGTATATATAATTATTATGCACATACACAACAAGGTTTTGTCCCATTAGTGTATGTAATAGATTTGATAAAGTTTTTGGTATGTTATTTAATACTTTGGGGAATTAATTTGTGGTTTAAATACTTATTTTTCTGTTAAAAAAAAAATTACATTTTATACCACTCTACAAGAAAGTTCTAGGAGGAAAATGCCAAAGACACTGTGGTAAAAGGAACATGACTTGAAGAGCTGCTTTATAAGGAAAGAACACTATTCAAAAAATAAATAAATGTTTCTGGAAAAGAAATCCTATTATGCTGTCTTTAACTGGGGGAGGTTGTCTTTATCTTCCTTTAGAAGAATCTGAGGAGGAATATATCTGAACTAAACACCAGGAATGTCAAGTCATCCTAAAAGCATCATGTAATGCTTTTGATACAACATCTGTCTTCAAGATTGTTAACTGAAATATGGAAGAATAATACACGTCAAGTCTTCCTTCTCTTTGTGAAGGAATCATGTGACTTGTTCTCCTGAGCAATGACAATCCTTTGAGGTGATGGTGTAGCTTCATCCCAGTTTCTTCTAGGTGTCTTCACTATTGTGAGATACCATCAAGTTAGTATCTATAATATTCCTTCTGGATCAGCGTAGATGTCCACAGCCTCTGTAGGTGAGTAGGGAAAATTCAAGCCAGTAAAATGCCAAAGTTATGCCAGGACCTGGACCAATCAATGCATTACTACTTACAGAAAAGTGCAATCAAGAACAAATCTTTTCATAGTTAAAGACTATAAATGGCAAAACAGGGTGCGGTGGAAGGAATTCCTGTCGGATCGCTCCCTCGGTGATGAGCAGGCTCCACCTGCTGGTCTGCCTGTGCTGAGTGAGCAGCGAAGAAATGCTGTATCAGGATGAAGCTGTAGACTGTAGAAATTGCATCCCCACAGCTTAAAAAATTGCACATAGCAGCCTACAAGAGGTTAAACCTGAATCAGAGACATCTGTACTTTGGGAGCAGTCTGGTTATGTTTGACTAGTGGCTGTGTGCAAGATGAAGAGTTCTCTTCCATGCACGTTGCTATACTGTTTAAAATTTCTTCCGAATTATAATCTCAGCCTCTTCAATAACCACGTCATTAGTTTGTCTCCTTTCTGTATGTGATGTGCAGTAAGAGTACCTAGCTGGAGAGAGCATTACCGTGTATGTGTGTGTCCTCAAGGTCAGATTCACTATTCCTCCTGCCAGCCAGTATAAAGACAAGGTAAGATGGAGGGGTTGAGCAGCACTCCTCCCTTCTGGTGATGCCTGCAGCAATCCCATGTGGAGTAAGTAAAACCTGAGCCTGTAGTTGGAAAAAGGGAGATTTAAAAAAAAGTGAAGAAGGGCTTGTTATTTCATATACCAAGTCTCTTGACTGCCTGAGGAGACAAAATCTTGTAAAGATGCAATGTGATTATTTTATTTTTTATATGTATATATATGAGTGCACAAAGAATAATGTACCAACTGGTCGCTGCAGATAGCTCCAGGACTGTAATGAGCCACTGTAAACTGAAAAGCTGTGGTAATTTCCAAACAGAAGTCTGCACTAGAGAAGAGCAGGTCACAAATCTGAAATACAACGTCAAGCCATTGACGTGGAAGGCACAGAGCAAGTATAGTAAAAGGAAGTGAATGTGCGTGAAGGATAAGGAATAGCTGACATTTGTGTGAGCACACACAGAGTGTGGGCTTTCAGCTAATCGTACAGTTATGAAATAATTCGGGTTGGAAGGGACCTCACCAGGCCCTCGGGTCCATCATCTTACTTAAAGTAAATTCACTATTGAACTCCCATCAGGTTGCTGAGGGACTTGGGTCTTGAAAACTTCCACGTTTTCAAGGGGTTTTTTTTTTGTTGATGGTGTTTGGGTTTGTTTTTTTGTTGTTGTTTGTTTTGGGTTTTTTTTTGTCAAGTTAGGGGATCCCCTATTTTAGCATATTCTGTGTTTCTTCTGTTCTTACTAGTTTAATACTCAGTATGCCCTTCATGTGAGAGCTTTCTACTAAATGGCCCTTTAGACCTGGGAGGGGGCCCAGGGGCTGCGTTGTCCTGCACTGTGGTGCCCCCAGACTCGCACCAGGTGGAAGCTCGGGCTGTACCAGGCCTCGGTCCCCACCCCAGCTCCGAGGCCAGCGGCCCTGCTTTGGCCTTGGATAAGCCCGGGGTGATCCCCCCGCCATGGCGCTGTGAGGCGGGGGC